GCTGGGATAAGAGGGAGGGGCAAAGTGGCAGGAGAAAGAGCAGATCTAGTTCCAAGTTGCTAGGGCAGCGATTCTGCTTCTCATGCCATCCCATGGTTGTAGTCCCTTGACCAGGTGGGCTTGGAGAGGCCATGCCTCAGCCAGGGACAGGCTAAGAAGCCTGGGTGGAGGAAGGCAGAGGCAAGAGGAGGTCAGGATAGTAAGGCTCATAAGCCTGCACTTCCAGCTGTGTGAAAACTGGAGGAAATGAGCACCCTCAGAGGTGGCTCCTCAGAGCAGAATCACTCTCCGTTTCTCATTTTTCCCTTTCTAAAGCAAACTTGTGGCCTCCCTAGCAGAGCTGGTGATTCTGGCTCAGCCTCACAGAGGGGAGACAGGGTGGTGTTTTATTTCTACAAAAACTAGGGGGTTTTAAGTCAGTGTCTCACAATGACAAGTTACATAACTTCAGAAACGTTAGCCTGCTTTTGTAGACTGTAAATGCACACCCTAACTGAAAATTCTAAGGTGGGTGGGAAAATACTATGACAAAAACTTCATTCTGTCCCATTGTCCCAAAGCTTTTTTTTTAAAAAAAATTTTTTGTTATACATGGGCACAGTATATTTTGTTTATTTTTATATGGTGCTGAGGATGGAGCCCAGTGCCTCACATACATAAGGCAAGCGCTCTGTCACTGAGCTACAATCCCAGCCCCTAAAGCTTTATTTTTTTTTCAAAGTGTATAGAATTTTTAAATAAATCAGAATGTTTCAAAGTAAAACCATTGTGGTACCATCCTACAAGATCCCTGCATCTGTGGCTCCTGCGGGTGGTGGACGTAGTATGTGAATCTGTTCTTCCCGTCATTATTGTTCTTGACATTTTTGCCTTTCTGAGCAAACTGTAGTTTTTGAGCATCAGTATAGGCACCAGATAAACTGGAACTCTTCATATAGCAATGACTGTAGGGTCCTAGAGCCGGAAAGGATAGGATGTGGAAATCTGCTTTGGCTTTTCTCTTGCAGTCTACCATTGGCCTTGAAAGTCACGTGGTCACCTGCTTTATCTTCACACCTCTAGAAGCAGATAGTAAAAGTCCTGAGCTGCCCAGGGGGTGAGCATTGTGTGACTAGAGCCCAGCATTGCTGCAGAGCAGAAGCCAGCCCAATGCTAACCTAGCCAATACATTCCTCCTACTAAGTCCCTCCTACTGAACACGGGGTGGTACTCTCCTCAGGTTACATTTCTGAAAAGCCTACAGCAAAGTGAAGCCCAAGCCACCTAAGAAACCTGTGAGCCCAGGGCAGAAGGAACTGACCAGGGCCCTAAGTCCTGTGAGGGGAACAGAGGATGAGAGCAGGGCCTGTCGTCAACAAGGACCAATCCACAGGTACTTCCTCTCCACACTTGCTTTTCACCTGTCACTGAACACCCGCGCCACAGTCTTGAAGAAAGCAATGTCCCAGATAACAGGACAATACTGTGTGTCAGAGTGCTCCCAACGAGGTGGGCCTGCATGGTCTGTGAGCTGTAGTCCTCTTCCTCTGACCAGGCCTGATGCTTGTTGCTCTGGCCCACCCACATAGTCCCAAAGAATCCTGGATGTCAAGTACCTCCTTCACCCTTTCCTCAGAGCAACAGGTGTCTGTGAGGTCCCTAGTGAATGAGGGTCTCAAGTTCCAAGGTTATCACTTTGCACAAAGCATGCTGATGAAGGCTAGGTGCATCTCTGTACCTTGCTGAAGGATGAAAATCTAGGTGCACTTAGGATATGCCAAGAACAAACTACTCTAGATTATAAGCATACTG